TTCGGCACAGGCCTCCCCGGGACCCATTCACTACTAGTGGGGGGTACTGCACTTGGCGCGTCGGGCATATCAAATAATGGTCTAAAGCTAGACGTTAAAACCGGGAAGTTAAGCCTGTGGAGGCTCTTCCCCACCTTTACCTTTACCTTTACCTTTATCGCCAAGGCTTCGGCACAGGCCTCCCCGGGACCCATTCACTACTAGTGGGGGGTACTGCACTTGGCGCGTCGGGCATATCAAATAATGGTCTAAAGCTAGACGTTAAAACCGGGAAGTTAAGCCTGTGGAGGCTCTTCCCCACCTTTACCTTCCTCCTCCAACGGCTTTGCCGGCGCCAGTGACGATCGCAAATGACCTCCTGCGCGTTTGGGGGGCGCAGCGCCTCATGTTCTGGACCTCAGGGGCGACAGCAGCATGATGCCACGGGCCCAAGTGCACAGGGGCTAGCCAGCAACACGGGGATGCGATGAAGGTGATTGCAGCAACTGCTGAGGGGCCGGGGGTCAGCACCAGCCCCTAGGTCCCTAGGTGTTACAGTCACCCCGCTATGATAGGCCGCGTGAGCAGACCTTGGGCAGGGGGCACACGTGATCAAGGGGCATCAAGAGAGGGGGTGGACCATGGAGCACCCTCTCCATGGCTCCGACCACCCTCCCCCCAGCTGAGCGTCCCAGGGTCACCCCACCCTGGCCCCGCTCCCCGTCCTGCCGGACACGCAACCCCCACAACGTGGTGGGGGGCGTGGGGATCCTTAGCAGCTTAGGCCTGCCAGGCCGACGGGTGCCGATGCTGGTGCGGGCTCCCGGCGGCAGGCAGCGCCGCCGCCGGGCACTCAAATGGCATGGGGCCCACGGGCCCCCATGCCCGCACATCTCCCAGGCACATGAAAATACCAGAAGGCTGCACATGTAAGGGTGCATGCATTGCAGGCAGGAGTTGCTTGCTTGCTTGTGTGGGCTTAAAGTCTGGTAAAGCAAGAACTAGCTTGCAACATAGACTCCCCGCCGAAACGGGACGGGAACCGGGCGAAAGCAGAGAAAGCAATAAAACAGGGGTGGAGCAAGGCGACATGCAACGCAAGCAGCTGACAGGGCACGCATCGAAACGTGTGTATGACTGGCAAAGTGGCATGGCGCATTGGGGAGAAACGCAACGGTACGGGAGCATGGGCTGGCCAAACGGCAGTGCGGAACGCTAGGTCACTAGAAAAGCAGGGAAAGGCGCACTATGTATGCAATGAGGGCAGCCTCGGCTCGGGGCTGTTGAGAAAGCAGTGGGCGGGAGGGGGGAGGCTCTCGGTGTGGGGCGGGCCTCCATCGAGGGGGGATGGGGGCGCGCAAGCG